AAGTGCTACAGTGGGTCAGTGAGCTGTGAAAAACTTACTGTATGTACAACAGGAATGGGCAGAAGGCAGATTGGGATCTGCTGGTAGGTTTCTGAGCGATTTGCAGTTGTTCCAAAAGGATTCTGATTCCCAGTTGTTTAACAGTAGACATAAAAGAGCCTCTTTCTTGTTGCTAAATTAGACTGCTTACGTGAAGAAAGTTTGGGGTGATGGGGGAGAGAGAAACCAGGAGCTGATTTTTTGTGAGATAGGACTGTGAACTCAGTTCTGTACTGAAAACAATTTCCTGAGCTGAGCTTGGTACTCTTAAAATTAATTATGCTCACACCTGGCTTGGATCCATTGGATCTGCCTGTAGGATAGGTATGAGGAAGTGGAGTTGGGAGTCCAGCAGCATCTGGAGGAAAACAGGTTCCCATAGAATTTTAAAGTTCCTATTCTAGTTTGACGATCTTCATCCCTCCAGCGCAGATAGTTGATTGGTGAAGAACTAGCAAACATTTTCCCTAGAAAATTTCATGTGGTGAACAGATTGATTAAAAGAATCAAAGTGAGTAGTAGGAATGGACATCCATATGCTAGAGATACATAGAAGTGCCACATCCTCTTCTTAATTGCATGCAAAGCAAGTGGAGTTGGTCTTTTCAGTTGTACTGCATGCTGCTACTAATCTTAACTGCTCATATCTGGTTGTACAGGTTTATGTTGGTAGCTGTCTGGGCGGTGTGTACCTTATTTCCACTGTCTCAACCCAATCTCTCTCTCTCTCTCTCTCTGCCAATTTCTGTGCCTTGTGATTCATCTTCTAAAATTATGAATTTTAATAAAAAATGAAATATATTCCACATCCAGCCCAGTCATATTTAACTCTCACATAATGGCTAATATGTCAAATAGTCATATAATATGGGGCATATTAAAACTGACTTGGATTACAGGGTTGTGGTAAGGATTACAACTAGATATTGCATGTGAAGTTTGTTAGACATTTGAAAGTGCAATATTGCAAGTATTCTTTAGTAAATCAATACTGTAGTAGCTAAGAGTGACCACCTTGTAATTATCTTAGGCTTCTTTGGAAAGGGGCAGTTCTTAATTCAGTTCATATTTCCCCCCAGTTAACTGTAGTTAATTCTCAGTAGAAGGTAACCTTTTATTCATGTTGCAAATCTAGGAGATAATGCATAATAAAGGATGTTACATGTTGCAGCAGAATTCCGGTAGACTTCGTCTGTGCTGCCTTCTTTCCCACCCCTTTATGAGGGTATATACATTTCTTCTCCTGCAATACCGAACACATAGAATTCACAGAAGGACCTCAGTAAGCTGTGTGTAACCCTAGTAGCTTCCCTGACATCACATACACACGGGGAAGGTAGTGATTTTTTAAAAATATAGACCCTTAATTCAAAGAGTTATTGTCATAGCTAGCTATAATTAAGAGGGAGAGAGATTACATTTAGTAGATGTAGCATTCAGCTTTTTGCCAGACATAAATCCAAATTATGGAACTTTTTTTGGGGGGGGCGGAGTTTTAGACCCGTCTCTTTTATCAACCCATCTTTTATGGGCCATCTTTTTTATGGGCTAGAAGAAGGAAACCTGACATAGTTTTAATAATTTTCTGCTTAGATTCCTCTCCACCACCCCCAGGATTACTTTTCAGCCCCCCCCGCCCCCCCCATAAGTGCTATGTTTGCTTTACCAGCCTCGCATATAAGCACTGGCCTAGAAGCAACCAGTAATTTAATGTAGGCTGGTAGAGTAGGCATTGGAAGGGCCTTGCCTTCTCCGCACCCAGCATAGAAGCCAAGTGAGTTGTTAGAGAAGAGAAGCCCCCCTCCTCTATGCCTGCAATAGAAATGCAAATCTCTGTCTCTCTGCCAGCCCCCCAACATCCTGATATAAAAATAAAATAAAATCACAGGCTAGTAACCCTTGTGGCCTTATTTACAAGTCTGAACTCTTTGACAACTGAAGCTACTGCATTCTTTCATTCCGTCAGAATCCTTTCCTGTTGGATTCCTCCTTATTTTTACTTGTTTTTAACTTTCTTGCACTCCAGTCCCCAAAGTTTCTGTGTAGTTTCAGAACTTTGGAAGGGGCAGTATTTTATTTAAGAATACTTTCACTTGCTTTCCAGAATAAAAGCTATATTAGCCTGTTGAACTCTCTCTTAAAAAAACAAAACATCAATTCTCTGTATATTTATTTGAAAGCAACCTCATTCATCTTCCGAATAGGTAGCCATAGGATTTGGAATTGCAATCCAAGGTAGCCATTGTGCTGTTATTTTTAATAAAATTTATCAGTGAATGTATGTTGTGAGTTTCTTTAATGCATTTATAGCTCTAAATACATAAAATTGACTGGGAGAATGTAATAGAACGCATGATACTATTGAATATGGAATTCCCTTTCTGCTGCAAGCTGTTGTTCTTTGTTATTTCAAGGACCTGGTACTCGAAGAACATCATGATTTTATTGGCATCTTTTGACAGCAGACTTATCATTGAATAAGAAATACTGTGCAGTTACAAGGCTGGAATGCTGTGCCTTAAGACTATGTGTTTCTTATATTAATTAAAAAGAATAAGAAGTTTGAGTCTGGATCGTTGTCCTGTGGGTACTTCTGTGCTCCCATTATCCTGGAGCTCAGTGAAGTGCTCCCCACTTGCAAGCTGGCACTCTTGGAGGAGAAAGACAAATAGATTGTTATATGGGGGGCATGCAGACTTGCTTTTCTTTGTAAATAAATGGGCTGCCCACGGAGGAAAGTGTCTGAAATTGGTGCTGCGTACAGTTCTAAAATGAACTGTTCTCACATTTTTTTATCCAAGGAGCTCAATAAAATCCAACTAGTTTTTTAAGTTTAATATTATTTTTCATGTCTTAATAGATTCAATATTGTTTGCCTTATAATCGCATTTCCCGTAGTAAAGGTAAAGGGACCCCTGACCGTTAGTCCAGTCGTGGCCGACTCTGGGGTTGTGGTGCTCATCTTGCTTTATTGGCCGAGGGAGCCGGCGTACAGCTTCCAGGTCATGTGGCCAGCATGACTAAGCCGCTTCTGGCGAACCAGAGCAGCGCACAGAAACGCCGTTTACCTTCCCGCCGGAGCGGTACCTATTTATCTACTTGCACTTTGATGTGCTTTCGAACTGCTAAGTTGGCCGGAGCTGGGACCGAGCAACGGGAGCTCACCCTGTCTCAGGGATTTGAACCGCTGACCTTCTGATCGGCAAGTCCTAGGCTCTGTGGTTTAACCCACAGCGCCACCCGTGTCCCTTTTCCCGTAGTAAATTGGTAGAAATACACGTTTTACTCAGGTAAGGTTTTAAAAGTGTCTTCTAGTTCCTGGGTTAATTAGGAATGTCAAATCATATAACAGTAAATGCCCAACTCCTAGGTGAAGCCAGTCCTGGACTTCTGTAGCACACGGAAGAGCTAAGAACCCTCCTCTGGAAAATCTTGGTGATTGAACCAGGATATAAGGCAGTCCTGAAGGTATGCTGGACTCAAGGTGTTCAGGACTTTGTATATTAACACAAGAACCTTGAACCTGACCCACTGAGCCAGGGTGCCTGCTTTAGCAGAGATGTTGCCTGCTGTTGGCCATTTGCTCCCATCAGCAGTCTGTCTGCTGCATTCTGCAGTAAAGGGAGCAGCTTCCACATCACATTTAAGGACAGTCCCACACACAGTGCATATTGTAGTAATCCAGCCTCAAGTTTACCAATGGTACCAGACTACAAAGACCCAGATTGTCCTAATTTCAACAGCGACTATTTCAAGAGAATTTTCTGGTTTTACCATTTGGGAACGTAGGGAATATAATACCCCCAAATTCTTTGCACAAATTGCCCGCAAATGTACAAATTCAGATTGTCTGTAGCAAGTCAGCCTTTGGTGAATTACACTGCCAACAACTTTAATGCATTATGTGTATACATTTCATTTGTAGAGCACTTAAGCGTGAACAAAATGAAAACTGGATTATTTATAATAAATGTTATATCAACATGAGTTGACGTCCATGGTGGATGTCCCCTGTGGAGCAGATTTTAAGGATTTGGTGACGGTGGGCTTCAGAGGTGGGGAGAGGACAGGGAACTCTCCTTGCACAAGCAGAAGTGTCTTCTGCTTGCCTAGTGACAGCATTGGTCACAACTTATTATTTCTAACCTCAATCCTCCAACTTTAAGACCATTCTTCAATGCAATATTTTTGTCAGCGCCAGTTTCCCATTTATATCAATGGCTTTTGAGTATCCTGTGTTTTATCTCAGTTGCAGTTGATGATGGATTTTTTTTCCTGTTAAACCTTTGGGGTCAACACTGAAACATTTTCATGAGAAGATATGGATGTTTTATGTAATAAAGAGCAAATAATATGAAAATACTGAAACAGGTTGTCTCTACTTGTCCCTTTGATCACTTTTTAATGGGATACCGCAGTACAGTGGTACCTTGGGTTAAGAACTTAATTCGTTCCGGAGGTCAGTTCTTAACCTGAAACTGTTCTTAACCTGAAGCACCACTTTAGATAATGGGGCCTCCTGCTGATGCTGCGCCGCCGCCGCACGATTTCTGTTCTCATCCTGAAGCAAAGTTCTTAACCCGAAGTACTATTTCTGGGTTAGTGGAGTCTGTAACCTGAAGCGTCTGTAACCTGAAGCGTCTGTAACCCGAGGTACCACTGTACTGTTTGAGATCAAATTTGAAAGTCTGAATAGGTTAGAATTATAGGAATTAGAAAAATCTAATAAAAAGGGAAAAGACAGCTTTTATTATTAAAAAGTAATAATAAACTGTAAGTCAGTGGAGACATATCTGAACTTGATAGCAAATTTCTAAAATATGAGGTATTGATTTGATAATTCTACTGTAGTAATGCTATCATAGACTAGTTAGAGAGATCCAGTACTACTTGTCCTGCACATGTTGTCTTCCTAATAAATTAATCAGGACCCTGAGGATCAGTTCAATCCCCTACAGTGCTGGAATATGCAGCTGTCCCATACACTGAACCTGCAACCTTGGCATCATGACTACCACGCTCTAACCAGCTGAGCTATCCTACCTGCTTTATGTATACTAATTTCTTAGCTTCAGTTCATAATTTTAAAAACTGTTATGAAGTGACAAAATAAATTGCTGATGCACGTTTCTCAGCAGATGATCCTAATGGCATGCTGTGCTTTTCAACAAATTTTGTCTACAAGTAACTTTTTTCATTTCGCTTTTAGCATGGTTAACTTGTTATACAGAGAAGAGGCTGCCCTCTAGTGGATCAACATGGGAATTCACTTAACATATTTTCTTTTTCAGCCTCCCAACATAACCATATTTGACAATACTGTACTTCTAATCAGTGTTGCGATCTGAGTATGTTTTATGTATAAACTTCACTGTTGCAATATCATTGTGTGGCACTGGTGCTTGTGTGTGTGAGAGAGCTTTCCCATAACCAAAGCTGCTTGTTCATAGGAGATGAGATAATACCTAACAAGGTAATGATGGTAATGTACCTTAAAGTAAAGGTAAAGAACCCCTGACAGTTAAGTCCACTCACGAACGTCTCTGGGGTTGCGGCGCTCAACTCGCTTTACTGGCCAAAGAAGCCAACGTTTGTCCGCAGACAGTTTTTCTGGGTCATGTGGGCAGTATGACTAAACCGCTTCTGGCGAACCGGAAATGCCGTTTACCTTCTCGCCACAGTGGTACCTATTTATCTACTTGCATTTTGACGTGCTTTCGAACTGCTAGGTTGGCAGGAGCAGGGACCCTAGCAACGGGTGCTCACCCCATTGCGGGGATTCGAACTGCCAACCTTCCGATCGGCAAGCCCTAGGCTCAGTGGTTTAGACCTCAGCGCCACCCTCATACCTTAGAATGTTCCTCATAGATTGACATGCTAGCTGCGTAATCCTTACAGCAGCCCCCCTAGAGTAGATATGGGGACGATGCTACTATTGTAGGGGTGTGTGTTGTGGTGACCAAAGCTGAGAGAAGTAGGTTTTCTAAGGCCACCTAGTGAACTTGGGACTGAGATGAGAGCTGAACTGGGAGCTTCTAGGTTAGGCTCTCAGCCACTACCCAGTATGTTGTATTATCTATGATATTTTTATAAGGAAGGGATGTTGTAAATCAATTAATTTCTTAATTTATCGGTGATCTTCCAATTGTGTTAGCCCTGTTATTCTGTGTTGGCACATATATAAAGAACCAATCAGTTAGTTCCACATGCCCCAAAGTCTTTTTGATTTTTGTTTCTTGCACAGCTTCTCCTGCAGAGGCTTTATAGGATCTCTGAAATGGAAGGGAATTGCAAAAGCAGTTTGTGGTATCGTATGGAGAATTAATGTTCACTCTACCTAGATAAGTAGAAGCCCTTACACTAGTTTAAAAATACTTGTTCGGATTGTGACCAGAATTCCTTGTAGTTATTCCAAAAGCTGCATACTTAGCCAATAAAAATTATAGCTCCTATTTCATTATTGCTAGTGCTATTGGTTAGTGTAAATTATATAATTTGATAGTAATTGCTCACTTAATGACTAAGCACAATTCAAGCCATTTCTGTAGCAAATGTGTATATTTATCTGCTTACACTACACAAAACCACATGCTTCTGAAAAATATGTATGTCTGCCATTGCTATTTTTATACGTAGAATTGTGTTTCTTCTGGCACAGTGTATTAAATGAAATCTGTGTGAAGTAGATAGTGAATCATCAAAAATATATGGGTTACAAATAGCATTGGAAATCAATTTTATAGAAATTTTAATTTGAAACTAATCAAATAGGTTTCTCAGTCATTGAGTGTTTTTGAAAAAAGTGGGTGCATGTTTCTCACAAGTAATACGGTATGTTTTGTATAGGTATCATACATGAAATCATGGCCTATGTTATGTTATATGTTTGGGGTAAAAATAAAAGAATGTCTCCATCATCGTATCACTCCACATGACTTACAGTCAACATGCTACAGCTTGAATTTATAGGGTTGAATAATTTTATGATGTTTAAAGACATGGTATGCTTCCTTTTTAAAATGACATGGTTTAATTTTAAAAGTAATACTTATACTAATTCCATTACACAGATATTTGGAATGAATTTGTATTTAGCTGAGACTTCTGCATATATAAACATTTTAAAAAGTGCAATCTCTACGCACCTCAGAGGCTTCGCTGCTCTGATCATAATCAGAGTTCTGTTTCTGCCCACCAGCTGACCTAAGATCAGTGCTATGAAGGTAGATAGGAAGGGCAGCTCCTTTGTGCCCAGCATCTGGGTCCCTCACCGTAACCGCCAGGTGTTTGCTGTTCGTAGATAATACTTTAAATAAGTACATGCATCAAATAGAAGAACTCCTGCATATCCTTAAGGACTTCACACTGGGTAGTCCACCTCTGCTGCTACAGCAGCCTTTGGTTCCAGCAGGGTGGCCGAGGTACTTTGGAAGACTTTTTCTGCTAGCATGCTGGCCTCCCTCAGTATTACCAGCTGTGCCTTTACCTGGACCGCAGTAGCTTGATCACAGTGCTTCATTGGTAACCTCAAGACTTGATTATTGTAACGTTCTTTATGTGGGGCTACCCTTGCAGCTGATCCAAAAGCTGCAGTTAGTGCAGAATGTTATGGCCAGACTGCTCACAGGAGCAGGCGACTGGCAGCATGTGACTTCTCTGCTGAGAGATTTGCGCAGGTTACCAATTTGCTACTGGGTCAGGTGTGAGGTTCTTGGGTTAATTCACAAAGCCCTGAACAACTTGGGACCAATGTACCTTAAGGACCGCCTGCCTCTCTTATGCTCCACCTCGATCACTGAGATCCTTTGATGGGTCACTTCTTGTAGTTCCTCACACCCCTCAAGTTTGATTGGCCTTTACTAGGGATCAAGCCTTTAGTGTGGCAGGCCATGTGCTGTGGACAGAACTCCTTGCCAGTAAAAGTTCAGAAATCACCCCTTCCTTCTTACAGACATTGCCCCTGTTATTTAGACAGGCATTTAAAATATGAAATGTGTAAAATGTATTTATGGACTTTTTCTGTTGTTTTATTGATGTTTTAGTTGGTATTGTGAGTTTTGGTATAGTGCTTACTGCCGTGTTGTATTTCTACAAAAGTGTGATCTAGAAATATCTGATTGATCAATTAATTAATGACATCTACTCTAATTTAGCAGCTTGAGGTCTTATAAACAGACCCCCAAATACCCTTTTAAAATTCAGTCTTTTTGGGTTATATTTTGTATCCAACAGAATAGCCACTGGTTTGTTTTTCACATTGAGGACCTTTTGCATGTTTTCATCTTGTCATCAACAACTTTGCCTGAGATACATTGTCAAATGAAATAATTAGCATAATTGTGGAAAGCACATTCTCTCTAACCAGTTATGAAGGAAATTAATTTTTAGAAGAAACTTTTCAGAGACAATCAATTTCTTTTTCTATATTGCTTTCATTATAATTGGCACTGCCCAGGGTGCCTAACTTAGGTTTTATGGACCACAAAAACTTTATTATATTAATGGGGCCATTTAGTGCTCAGTGTTCATATTCTTTCCCCCCTCCATCTTGACACTTGGAGTTAATCTAAAGGTATAAAACTAATTACTTACTATAAAATGCATAAAAAGAGGGCTTAATTTGGTATTGGAATGGCCATATTACAGCTTCAGGTTTAAAATAAGGCTTCCATGCTGGGCTTAGAACTGTTCTTGAGTCAGGGCAGTACGTGAAACCCAGCTCTGTATAAATAACTGATACGCTGATAAAAGTGTCTAATCTTTGTTCTCTACCTCTGCTTTTTTTCTTCTCAGAATGTGAAAACATTTGCATCTTCAGATAGTCTAGCAAAGGTCCAAGAAGTAGCAAGCTGGCTTTTGGAAATGAATCAAGAACTGCTGTCTGTCGGCAGTAAGAGACGACGAACTGGTGGGTCTATTCGAGGTAATGCTTCCTCAAGCCAAGTCGATGAAGAGCAGATGAATCGAGTGGTGGAGGAGGAGCAACAGCAGCAGCAGCAACAACAATTACGGCAACAAGAGGAAGCGCACGCGGCAAGGAATGGGGAAATAGGTGGTGGGGAGCCTGGACTTTGCCACAGAAATGAGTCCCAGCAAGAACAATTAGAAGAAAACAACAACAGATTTATTGCAGTGGATGAAGAATATTCTGGTAACCAAGAAGAGGAGGAAGAAGATGAACATGCTGGTGAACAAGAGGAGGAGGAGATGGAGGAAGAGGAAGAAATGGACCAGGACAGTGATGATTTTGATCAATCTGATGAAAGCAGCAGAGATGATGAACGCACTAATAGTAACACTGTCACAAACTCAAATAGTATCATGGACTTAGCAATACATCAGCAGTCATCTCCATTCTACATAAAGTCAAAGGTGAGTAATTTAAAGTAATGAGTAATTTAAAGTAATTTTAAGCAAAGCGCTGAGGCATGGAGATTTTTTTTAAAAAAATAAGAATTAAGCAATTAATATATATTACTAGAATAATGCACTCCTATGAAACTACTGATTTACTATGAAGGCTTTATACCAGCATTCAAGTATTTTTCTTATTTATTGTGAAACAAAAATTATACTACTCTACTACTAAGCACTAAGTTCAATGGCATTGGGATCCTTCTGTGCTCTGCTCTTACAGTTGCTCTAAGACGCACTTAATGAGCCTTTGCTATTTTTTCCCCTTCAAAGCAAGTGAAATGGAATTTGTTAGTTGTGTATAATGTTTTGTACATATTTGCCAAAATAGTATGTATTAGCATTTTCTTTTACAAGAAACTCCTTAAAATATGTACCAGAAGGCAAGGTGCTGATAAACATGAATAGGTAATCAAGAAAGTTCTTTCCTTTTTTGTTTTCTTTAACTACAGCATGCCTGTCAGCTTTCTAGGTTAAGAAATGTTTGCCATTGTACAAGTTCCAATATTTCTGTCTTACTTATATCCTGAAAACTGACAACAGTTTTCTAGTGGATTCCACTCCTCATAAGTGTAAGCAGAGTAAGAAGTCGGGTAGAAAAATCTGTGAGTGCATTGAATATTGAGATCT